TTTCTTCTTATACTCGGCATGTAGATGATATTTTTTTCGATAGCAGATTGGACACCCCATGGATAAAGTGAATCAGATTCACCGAGCGTTATCCTTCACTTTAGGAAACAACAGATACTGCCTCCTTTTTCTGCACGGCCTACCTAGTAAAACGCCTGGTGTAACAATTCGTGGAATTGAATTTCGTAAGAAAACACGAGCAGAGCAATGCACAATTATCTGCAGTTTTGTCCTGCTAAGTCAAAAAAGAAACTTACTCTGTTGACTCATTAACTGAGCTAGGAGAATATGTACTTTAGGCACGCTGGAGAACAAACTAGCTCTTATACAAAACTGCGAGAAAACGCCTTTCCAGAGAAATTGATCAGTAAATTTATAGAGAAACGTCCCCAAAAATCTGCCGTGCCGGCGGCTGATATATAGAATTTATTTCCTACATTATATTCTCAAGGGGATCTGGCTAGCGAACTGCATCTTCGCTTAAACACTATTACGCATACCCATCCAGCTGCTTAGGTAAGACTATTGCTCTCAAACACCACTTATTTGCCTATAGGGCAGAGATAGACTCCTATTATGGACCTTCTCAATGTGCATCTACGCCTCCACTTTCTCCTATGGAGGTTATATTGGCCAAACACCTAGGTGCCTCTCCAAGCATATGCGAGGAAATCATTCGTCTGGTTGAATCGAGGCTCATTAAGGTCCGTCTCTGGCGTAATTATGACTCACTTAGTTGACAGATAACACCGAGTAGACGTCAACCAATTACTCTGAGCTAACGGAAATTTCCAAGCAAACGAAATACTTCAAATTATTGCGTCAGTGGATCCTTGCGATGACAGAGACAATGACCATACGACAAAATAACCTAACTATGTACAAACAGAAGGAGTTTACACGGGCACAAAGGCTCCCCTGGTAGGAGACCGACTCAGCATGCGTGTTCACACCTTCCACTTCGCGTTATGACGACGCAGAGACAAATTGATTGGACATCTCCTTTCCCTCCCTCAGCTTCTGATCTGTCTAAACCATAAACTGTCACGAGATTACTCCGCCTTAAGTAGGCTGTATCCACCAATAACCTTATTTTCTCTTTCATTGTTCACCTCTATGCCCGCGAACAGCTTGATTTCCCCCATAACCCTGGAAGCAGCCCTGTTATTTCGTTGTTTACTCCCTCTGTAGCCGGCTGTGTTCCCAATGCACCGTTTTTAAAACTGTAATTGTGTAAAATAATCCCACCCTTTTCGCTTATTCCATGGTTTGACACCCGATTAATATTCTGTAACTATTATACTTTCTTTTTATAAAGATTTATATCCTTATTCCCTTTTATTTGACTCGTATGGGTTTTAGCCAATTCCTTGCAGCTACAACCTAGTTTCTTAAATGTTTGGTATCAACTTGTCATTTTATTTTTTACTCCTATCACCCTTACTTTGCATTTTCGGTTGCTTTCTTTCACTTATCCACTACATTTGCTTCGACTACACGTGTACATATCTGGAATGTCCATTTTTATAATGTCTTGTACCCGTTACACCTCCAACAGTCGCTATCCACCATTGACCGGCGCATTGCCGCCTTAGGCAAATTATATAATCAGACATGTTCATATACTCCCGAGTCTCTGGTACACGAAGTTGATGATATTATTTCTGATTGGCGGATTCAATGTAATCGCTAGCTGCTGCACGTGCTCCCCCGAGCATTGAGTGAACTATCTTTTGGGAATCATAAATCACTTATCTCTGAAACTCTCTTACCTCTCGAGAGTGAGCGACCTATGAGGTGGACCCGGAACGCCTGTTTGGCCCCCAGTAATCGTTAATCGCCCTATACTATTATTTTTTCCTCCGTACGCATCAGCCTGGTGATAACAACGACTCCTGTATTGACGCCTTTTTCACCCTTCGGCAGCAGGGTCTTCCCAGACCTTCGCGTCTCCGAGCAGGTCTTTTCCGCTCCGAATTTGTCAAGCAGAAGTTTCGCACAATATCTCCCACAGACCTATTCATAATCCGCCGAACCCTGAGAATATTCGAGTCCACTCTTTGCTTTCACATCGGAACACTTCTCGTTCAAAGACCGGGCTCGGAACTGTAACCACAATAACCCCCAGGGACGTCCTATGAAATGTGGACGGCTGAAACAGGAAAAGTGGCGTCCGGTGTGCTTGTTAGAGGAAGTGGTGGACGTAACATTGCATGGGCGTTACGGTGATGTTTGCTAGGGTAATGCTGTACTTTGGAGACAAACTCCTCGAGCAGTCCCCGTCGTCCGGTGACCCATCCCTCGGCATCTTTAAAATTCCGCAGCCATTTGAGTGTCTGGTAGTTGATGCGGACGACAAAGTGTTTCGTGAGTAAGAGGTGTCCTCATTTTTAGACGAAGGCACCTAGTGAGCA